ATATGCATATATATATATAAAGTTATGTGGAAGAATAGATTTTCAACACTGACTTCTGACTTGTTTTAGGAAGAGGTTGACTAACGAACATAAATTATGTAAACTCTGGCTTTAGTTAAGGACCATTGCACAGTTCCTTTTGTGCACCATTGCTGAGAATGATTTTAAATACAAACAATCATTCTCTTTAGGAGAAATAAGTTTGATCTGTTTGCCAATTCATTAGAAGTGGAAGGTGGAAGAGGGGGCAAGCATGGTGGTGTTTGAAATATTTTGAGATTGGTTTTACAACGATCTCCAGGGCAAAACCCTGTCTTGAAGATTTTCATTTATTTTTGATAATGCCATGCAGAACTTGAAAATACCCAGCCCAATGTTGAAATCTTTTTATGTCCCCAAGCAGTATGTCTTGCATCCAACCACTCAATCAGATCATAGTAAAAGCTTTCAGGGTTCACTACATGAGGAAATTTTTACATCAAGGTGTGCGAAGCTCTTGGTGCCAATAAAGCAGCCCCCTTAATGGATTAGTAGAAATCAGTCACTAGTCACAATGTTACTGCTTATATTGAAACAGCCTAGTACAGCATCAAACAAACTGTGGTTAGTAACTTGAAAAATGTTGGCCAGACAGTATGAAAAATTTCTAAGGCATCAAGGAAGTTCTAGAAAATAGCATCAGAAACAATACACTTCACATAATACATAAGTGGAAAAGGCTTTTATGACATGAAGACTTGCAGGAAATTGTGGTAAATAACACAGGTAAACCCACCATCAAAGACCTAGAAAATAGTGTAAAACAACACATTGAAGTGAGTGATCACACAGATGATAATGAAAATTAGCCCAAAACTCCAAGAATGTCCTTAGAATGGTCACATATCAGAAAAGAATTTTGTCTTGGAAACTGTTTCAATGTCAAGGGAGAATATGACCAACTTTGGGCTTGAATGCAGCATCAAATAAAAGCCTAGCCTCAACTGTGTATCTGTTATGGAAGATTCTTAAAGATCTGAAATGAAACCTTGAGTTGTAAGGGCTGACACAATTTCTCAAGCTAGTTTTGGACAGAAAATTTCCAATGCTAATAAGTCACAAGAGCCAAACTCTAGGGAAGAACTGAGGAATGACAGCCTGCCTCCCCCATCAATATCCTCTTCTGCAGAATCTATTTCAACAACATCTTGATTTTCACTAACAAGCCACTGTCAAGAGGTTTAACTGCACAACAGCACAGTTCTCCTGGAGCATCATGGCTTTAATTATGTAGCAATGATGTTGTTTGCCATCTCTGTAGGGATCCCGCTTTGTAGAGCAAAGCAGAGAACATTTTCAAACATTCCTTTTATTGTTTTTCCCCCACTGAGACCCTAAAAATATTTCACCTTTGGCTAATATTAGGCAATATGAAATTTACCAAGGACACAAACATGTTTGCATGTATTTTATTGACTGAAAAGGCTATGATCTTCTTTTTCATAGGGGCCAGTCCCCAGAAAAGGATATCATGTTTGGAAAATTAGCAAAGGAGAGGAAGATCCACAAGGAAATGGATTAGCACAGTGGCTCCAATAATGATGGACTTACTTAAGCATTACAGAGACTGAACAGCATAAAATAGTGCAGGATTTCCATCTATTGTATATTGAATTGCTGTTTTGTTTTGCCATCAAGTCGAGTATGTCTCACAGCAGCCCTAGGAACAACATCTGACTGTTGTATCCTATGCCATCCTCATAATCTCTGAAGAGAATTGATTGCTGAAGTCAATGTGTCAATTCACCTGGTTGAGGGTCTTCCTCTCTTTCACCCTCCCTCAACCTTTCCAAGCTTGATGCCCTTCTCCAGGGAACAGCCTTTCTTAGCAACATGCCCACAGTATGTGAGGTGAAACTTTGCCATTCTTTACTCCAAGGCATTCTGCTTGCACTTGCATTCTGGCTGCACCTTTCCAAAACGTATCTGTTTGTTCTATCGGCAGTCCATGGGATATTCAGTACTCTTCTCCAATACCACAGTTCAAAGGCATTAATTCATTAATTCTTCTGTCATTCTTATTTATTGTCCTGGTTTTAGCAGCAGAGCAAGTGATTGCAAAGACCATGGCCTAAATCAGATGCATCTTAGTCTTCAAACTAGCATCATTGTTCCTCAATAATATTGAGAGGTCCCTGACTGCAGACTTTCCCAGTGCAAAATCTCTCCTTATCTCTTAACTACTGGTCTTGATTGTGGATCCAAGTAAAATGAAGTTGTTGACAGTTTCAATCTTTTCTCCATCTTTCATAATATTACATAGCAGTCCAGTGGTAAGAAACTTTGTTTTCTTGGCACTGAAATGCAATCCATATTTAAGATTACAGTGTTTGATCTGCAGCAAATGTTTCAAGTCCTCCTCATATTAAATAAGCAAGGTTGTGTTATCTGCGTACTGAAGGCTATTGATGAGTCTTTCTCCAATCCTGATGCCACATTCATAAAGTCCAGCTTCTCAAATAATTTGTCTACTCTGTATAGACTGAATAGAGAGAGAGATAAGATACCCTTCACACACACACCTTTTTCAATTTTAAACCCTGCAGTGTTTGCTTGCTCTGTTTGCATAGCAGCTTCTTGGTGAAGGGATACATTTTGCAAGAGCACAATTAGGGTTCTGTGCTTCTCATTCTTGTCAATATTAGTCATAATTTGTTATAATCCACACAGTCAAATGTCTTTGCATAGTCAATAAAGCAGATGCCGTTCTCCTGGTATTTTTTCTGTCAAGATCCATCTGACATGAGTAATTTGCTGTATTGGGGGAATGATCTGCATATGGTTAATTACTTTGTAGTTTGGGTCTCTATTCTTGCTGTTTATCCTTATTCTAATTAGTACAATCCTAGTCTGTCAATTTGCTGACTGAGGTAATTTATGAGTGAAACAATGCTTAAATCTGTGCCACCAGTGTGTCAAATGCCAGAGGGATTACCCATACAGGACAGATTTTAGTAGAGCTCCCAGATTCAGACAGACTAGGAAGAAGGATTATGAATCCA